GTTTTTTTGGGGGGGGAAAATTGGGAAAAATTTTTTTTTTTGGAAGGGGGAGTTCGAAAAAAAAAAAAAAAAAAAAAAAATTAACTTTGATCAATATAAAATTTCGGACGAGCATGCATCTTTTTTTTTCATTCATTCATTTACGACCAAAATTTGCATTGTTCGATAATAAATTTTCAAGTTTGTTGTTTTTGAGAAAACAAAAAAAAAATTCCACCTAAATTGAGCAACAACAACAACAAAAAAAAATTCGAAATTGAAAAAAAAAAATTTAATTAAAAATTCATCATTCGATCAGAATGTTATCAGCACAGCAACAACAACAACAACAGCAATCGAATTTAGGTTAGATTTTGTTTTTGTTATTTTGAAAATTTTGAATTTATTTCCCTATTTTATTCGAATTTTACAAATCACAGGTCCAACAAAACAAACAACAGGAACGATAACAAAAATTTTGGATAATTTTGGTTTTATCGACGATTCGGTTTTCTTTCCATTAAGGTATTGTTAAATTTTTTAATGAAAGTGTTAAATTTCATTTTCACCCTTTTTTAAATTTATTGATTTCATTATCTATTTGATATTTGTGTTAATTGCTTTATTATTTAATTGATTGATTGAAAAAAAATGATTTATTTTTAGAAGAATTTTGAAATTTAAACAAAAAAAATAACAAACAATTTTCCCGAAAATATTTAGCCAATATATTTCGAATGGGTATTTTTAAATATGGATAAAGGATAAATATCCAAATGAATTGAATTTGAAAATTTTTTCATATTTTCTTTTTTTTTAAAAAACATTATCTTAGACCTAATTATTATTTCTCCTCTCTCTCTCTCTCTTATTCTCTTCTCTTTCGATTTTTATTATTATTGTAATCATCATCATCATCAACATGAATCGATTTGGGATGGATGGATGGATGATTGGTTGGATGGACAAAACGATAATTTAAATAATTTTTTTCTTTCCTACATTGTTTTCAAAAATTTTTCACAACCCGTTTTTTTTATTCGTTGGATCGGTTTTACGATATCTAATGTGTCATATGTGTGTCTGTGAAATTCCGATTTGGATTTTTTATTTTTATTTTTTGGATTCAATCGTTTCGTTTCATTGATGATTTCGTTTTTTTTTATTTCGGAAAATTTTGTGATTTTATGAAAACCAAACTGTGTATTGTGTGTCGACAATAATGAATTTGATGATAATAACAACGATGATCAACAAACATCAAAATCCCATAATGGTTAAATCATCCATCATAATGGAAAAATGGATCAAACAAACATCGAAATGGCTAACAATTCGAAACAATTTTTTTTCCCGGATTTTTCGATTTCGATTCCCAATTTTCGTCTCATCTTTTTGAAATTTTTTTATTCTTTTCGCTTTGTTCCATAATTCCGGTGGATGGATAATAAAGTGTTGTAAAAGGTGGAGCATCACAAGTAAAAGTTGGTGATAAAGTATTTTTCGAATGTACTTATTCGAAAAATTTACCATTCAATTGGAACGCAACCATTGTACAACCGATTCATCATCATCAACAATCATCTCAAACGCAACAGCAACAGCCATCACCATCACAACAATCGCAACATTCATTACATCAAACATCACAATCTTATCAACAACATTCTCAATCATCATCATCATTATCATTACAGCAACAACAACAACAATCATTGCATAGTGTGGCGCCATCTCATCCATCTTATAATCCAACACAAATATCATCATCATCATCATCCCCATCATTACAATCGAATTTAAATAATAATCCTTCTGCACAACAAACTAATATGTATCATTCACATAATCTTACCCATCCACAACAGCAACAACAACAACAACAATCGCAGCAACATATGCAATCTGCTAATCATCCATTATCCGGTGGACAATTAGGATATCCATCAGCTGTTGCTGGCCATTTAGGTCATCAATATCATCATCCACAACAACAACAACAACAATTATCTTCTTTGAATAGTGGACAAAAATCATTGCCATATGGTACACAGTCACCCCTATCACAATCATCGCAGGTTTATAATCCAACAGTTGGTTATCATCCAACTGCTACTTCCGGTGGTTTACCATCATCACAATCAACAGGATCGACTAATAATTCAACAGTTGCGGCAGCAGCTGCTGCGGCCGCAGCCGCAACTGTATCACCCGTAGATTTAGCTAAAGCGGCTGCTGCTGTTGCACAATTATCTCAATATTGTACAACAACCACTCCGATTGCTAATAATAGTACCGTTGGACAACAATCACAACAACAACCACAATCAAATCCAGCTGGACAATATGGCAATGTTGGTGGTGGTGGTGGTGTACCAGGACATCATCCTGGTCCCTTACAATATACATCAACACCTGGTATCAATCGTTTCATTCAATTTGTTTTTTATCATTTTTTTCCCCTTAAATATTTGTTTTTTGTCGATGTTGATTTGAATCACTGATCTGTCAACAAAAATTTTTTTTTTCTCTACGACTAAATGTTCATTTTCATTTCATTTCTAGAAATATTAAGAAACTTACTTTTGATTTTTCAAAACTTTTTATTATAATTTTTTTATTTTTCTTTTGTTTTTTAACATTTTAATCAGGTTCAGCATTTATAAGTTCACCATTCAATCAGCAGTCAAAACCTTCCCCTGGTGGCGGACCATCAAGACAAGGACCTGGACGATGGGATCATCAACGTGATGATCCACGTGCCGGTGGTGGTAATCTTCGTGGCCCAAATCGTGACGATCCACGTTCTGCTGGCCGTTTTGGTCCGAAACAATCTCGATTTAGTGATGCTAATTCGGAAAGATTTCAGGTACCCCCGAAACAACAACAACAACAACAAAATTCTAGTCAGCCGACAAGTTTTAATCGTGGTGGTCCAGATTATTCATTAGGTGCTAATCAACGTGGTGGTTTAGATCCGAGAAAATTATCACAAACTAGTACTGGGCATAATGATCAACATTCGGTTTCTGAAGATAGGGATCGATTTCATAGAGATAAAGATTTTCGTCAAGATAATCGTCGTGTTGTTGATCGTGAATCAAAACAAATGGATAATAATAACCAGAAAAATTTGGAACGACAAAATGACATTCAACATCGTCGAGAAAATCGTCGTGATCATCGTGAACGAGATCGATCAATTAATCGTGATCGAACATCAAAACGTTCGATTTCACCAACACCAAGTTTAGCTAGTAATAGTACGGCTGGTGGTGGTCAGTCTAATCGTCGTAGTGAATCATCATCAACATCGAATCTAATGTCCTATCTACCTAAGCGACGTTATGAACCATGTAATATACCGAAATCATCGATTATCAAGTATGATGAATATTTTGACTTTTTTTTGCTAACCATATTAATGACATGTTTTTCTCCTATCAAAATAGAAATCGATATAATTCAAATGAATTAAAATCACGTTTTGGCTCAAACACTGTACATGTTCCATCTGATTTGAAAGAAATTCTTTATGATGTTGAAAATGATTTTGATCTATTTGATATGCCTAAACCAATTCTTTATAAGATTATTGTTCCAGATAAAAAAGATAGTGCACATCATCATCATCAATCACAAAAGGAAAATTCAAAGAGTTCAAAATCTACAGACAGTAAATCGAATGATAAAACAATGGATAATAAACAGATGCAAAAAGATAAGGATGTTTCAAAAGAGGAAAAAGAAAAGCAATCGGAACAGAAACATCTGCAAAAATCACAAGAGAAAGAAAGTGATGGTGAGAAAATTAATGAAATTGGTCAAAAAGAAGAGAATAAAAACGATAATGAACAACAATTGCAAGATACAGCTGATGAATCTGAATTAACTATAGAAATGGATCAATCGCAAACAAATGAAAATATATCAATGACAACCGAAAAAGAGCAAGTCGTCGATGATGAAAATGAACAAGATAAAAAAGAAGAATCAAGCGAAACAGAAAAACAATCGATCGAAAATCAAGAATCGATTGATATGAAAAAAGATCAGAATAATAAAAATGAAATTAAGGAAAATAAAATGGATGTTGATGATAATGATACTGATGATCATGAACATGATAAAACAAAATTAAAAACAAATGAAATGGATGAATCTTTGAAACGTAAAGATGGTGAAAAAGAATCGAAACAATTGAAAAAATCTATAAAAGTTTTGGGACATAAATTCAATGTAAAAGTATTGCTTATATCATTACCATCATTGGCTGAAATTTATGAACGTTTATTTGGATCAGAATTTCCCGGTCCACAAAGCCATGGTGGTGGTGGTGGTCATAAATCAACAAATCGTGTTCCACATTTGCATAAATTATTTCAATTATTAGTCACACGTAATAGTAGTGATGGATATTCATTAATTGGTGGAAAATTTCAACGTGATCTTGATGGCTATTTGAATAATGGTGATCCAAATCTAATCAATACAGCTATACGTATTGTTTGGGAACAAACTGGTCTAAATCTTTCATCATGTAAACAATGGCGTGTATTTTCTACATTCATCTATAATCGTGACAATTCAATTGATCCATCCAATGCTGGTTATGAAGTGACAAAAATATATTTTCCCGATATTTGGTCATCATTTGAAAGTATTTATCTGCCAATGAAAAATGTTACCGAAGAAACAATCGATACAGATTTGAAATCAACAACAAACAGCCAATCGATTAATGAAGAAATAAACCAGGAATCCGATGAATCATCAGTGAAAAAATCGGTAGAAGAATCCAAAAAAGAAGAATCAATGGAAACAAAAAATGATGCAAATGTGACAAAAGTTCGTTCGAAACTTTCACCTATGGATCGTGTTTGCATTAAAGATGTATCGAATGAAAATAAAAAAGAATATGTTGAGAATTTATTGCAAACAATGGCCAATCTTAAAGTGGCTGACTTGAAAAATGAATTGGAAAAATTTTACATTCGTTTTGAAAGTCGTTGGAAAAAAGAACAATTATTTCAACGTTTACAACAAGTATGTCAAGAATCATTGCGAATTCTTTCGGGTGATGATGATGATAATAATGATGATAAAAACGGTGATCATAATGTTGGAGGTGATTTACAAAATGATTTGACTATTGGTAAATCTGAAGATATTAATATGACTGATGATCATTATGATGAAAATTCGAATCAAACGATGGATGATGATGAAGATGATGATGATTCGAAATTGTTGCCTGGCCAGAAACGAAAACTTGATGATGATTCTACCAATGTTGCCGATAATAATAATGATGATGATAATGTTGCTGATAATGAAAATGAATCAAAATCAAAAGAAACGATTGTGAAAAAATCTAAATCCGAACAAGAATCATCAAATGATTTGAAAACAGAAGAATCATCATCATATAAACAACATCAGCAACAATTGTTGGATAAAAATTTTACAGCCATTCCATCATCGATTAAAGTAAAAGCTGGTTCTGGTCAACTTCCATTATCATTAGTAACATTACATTCGGCATTGAATCCACATCGTTTTGATCAATTTGAATTGATTATTGTTTCGGAATTTTTACGTGATTCATTGACCATACATTTTGCTCGTTATATACTATCTTCAATCGTTGAATGTATAATGCAACAAAAATCAATTATACCGGCTAATACAAATACGGATGCAAATACCAGCAACATTGGTCGTATATCGACACCAATCAATTATGTTCATCTGGCATTTTCTTATTTTGAAAAAGGACATTGCGGTTATATGGTGGCTGATGATCTCAATACATTGTTACAATCAACCGGATTTGTACAATCGAGAAAAACATTTCAATCACTAGTCTCATCATTATTATCATTGGCTAATGTTAATGTATCATTATCATCATTGATGAATGAAAGAATAATGTACATATTTTTTCCACAACCATCACAATTAATAACACGACAGATATATTATCCAGCTATTTCATCCAAAACCAATCGAAATATAACTACTATTGGTTCGATCGATGATGATAACAATGAATCGACATTGATTATCGAAAGAAATTCTATACAATATAATGTTGATGAATTGATTAAACAATCGGAACAGGATCAAAAAATTAAGGCACGTTTACAGGATACAATGAATCAAACAAATAAAAAGATTGGTAAGAATATTTTTTTTAAACGATTATTTAGGCAAAATGTTAATTTTTTTTCAAATCAAAATATAGCATATTTAGAAAATTATGTACAAGAATTGGAAACTAAACAAAAGAAAATGACAGCTGCAACTGGCCGACAAAATGATGAACTTTGTGCTATAAAACGTGATCGTGATCAGATTAAAACAAAGGTAAGAAAAGCATTCTCAACCAAAAAAAAAATGATGATAACTTTAACTCTTTTTTTCAACTATATTTCAAATAGTATGAACAAATGAAAAAATTTTGTCTAAAATCTATGGATGATTTGAATGGATTGATGAAAACACTTGAAGGTAGTACAAATGATCCGACATTACAATCATCAATGGATACAACAACTTTGGCTACCGCTTCTACTACCGTTGTAACAGAAACAGCCAATGGAATTAAATAATTTATTTCGAGAATATTCAACATTATAATTAAATTCTTTGATCGATGAATTATTTTTCCACTATTCTATCATACAAACACACACTTAAACTTAACAAACAAACAAACAAAAATTCATCACATTTTTCTTTATATTTAAAATTTAAATGAATTTTTTTTCAAATGCGCAAAGCAAAATAAATAAAGATTTTGAAACAAAACCTTGATCTTTTTTTTTACATTGAATTTCATATCGATTGAGAATTCATAAGGACCAAAAAACAAAAAAATTTTTCATCAATATTGTTTTTATTTGGGCAGGAATTGTAAAGTGTTTTTATTCTTGTTTCTTTGTTTCTGGTTTTGTTTTTTTTTTGGTGGGTTGGAAATTCTTGTGTTTGTATCCTTGACGACTGGATTCAAAATGTATTAATAAGAGAATTCTCTTCGTTCATAGTTATTGTTTGTTGGTTATCGTGTTTTGTTTTGTTCATGAATCATTGGTAATTCTATTGGATTTCCTTGTTGTGTGTGTCATTATTGAAATTTGTTTGATTCTTTTTGTTTTTATTAGATCAATTCATCTTATCAACAATATTTTCGAAAACAAAAATGTCATCATTTTTTGGCAGATTTTTAACCATTCTTGGACTAAAACGTCGTGAAGCTAATGTTTTAGTTGTTGGTTTAGATAATTCGGGTAAATCAACCATATTGAATTATTTGAAACGTAAAGAAGATCAAGTGGAAGAAATTGTACCAACCGTTGGTTATACTGTTGAACGTTTATCCGGTATTGAACGTAATCGTTCTGGTATTACATTAACAGCATTCGATATGTCTGGCCAAGGTCGTTATCGTAATCTATGGGAACATTATTATGATAGTGTTGAAGGTATTATTTTTGTTGTCGATTCTACTGATGCATTACGTTTAGTTGTTGCACGTGATGAATTGGAAATGTTACTCAAACATCAGCAAGTTGTTTTGGAAAATAAAATTATCAACAACAGTAATAATGGTAATAATCAAATGAATGGTGAAAAAAATGATCTCGATGATAATGATGTTGATGGTGATGGTGAATCGAACAAAAATAATGATGATCATGAATCATCGAAAAATCCAAATGAATCAATAAATAATGGTAATAATAATGATATTCGTCAATCATTATCAAAACCGGATATACCGATTTTATTTTTTGCAAATAAAATGGATCTTAAAGAAGCATTATCAACGGTAAAAATTTGTCAAACATTAGGTCTACATCAATTACCACATAAACAATGGCATGTACAATCATCGAATGCATTGACCGGTGATGGTGTACAGGAAGGTATCGATTGGTTATTAGTACAATTGGCAAACAATAAAAAACTACAGAATTCAAATAATCAATCATCGAATCAACAACAACAAACATTGAAATAAAACGATGGCTAGATTGGTTAGGAAAAAAATCCTTCAATTTTTTCAGCATCTCATATTTATTCGGAAAATTTTTGTCATTAAGTGTGCAATTGAATTTTTCTTAATTTTTTTTTCTTTAAAGAAAATTTGAAATCGTACAAATTAAAACCAGAAAAAAAGAGTTCAAACATTAGCTAAATTAAATTTATAAACAGTTTTTTGTGTATAGATATCGTTTGCGGTTAATATAACCTGATTACGCCAGCTATCATGATTGATAGCATTGGGAAAACGTTGTGCTTCGAAACAGAAACCAGAATTTTTTCCCAATGATAAAAATTCGGATGATTGTGATTTTTTTGTTTGTAATCCTTTGTCCGATATGAAACCACCAATATAGAATTGAAATGCCGGTTCATCAGTCATAAATGACATTTTTATTCCAGTTTTTTCCGAATAAGCTTCGGCAGCTAATCGTAATGGTCGTTTTGTTTTTAAATCCCATTCATTAGAATCATTGATTAGTACATAACAATGATCATATGAAAAGTTACGTTCGCCAATTGTTCGCAATGGTTGTTTGGGAAATTCCATGACAGTATCTTTCACCGATAATATACGACCAGTAGGAATTAGATTATCGTCAATCTCAAGATAATCTTGAGCATATAGACAAATTTTATGATCAAGAATTTTTGTCGAATTTTGATCATAACATCCATTCAAATTAAAATATGAATGATTTGTTAACGAAACAATTGTTTTGTCAACATTTGTTGAATCTTGTTGTTCAAGTTTTGCTTCATATTCGATTTGTAATTCATCCGAATCAGTTATTTCGAAACGAACTTTAATAATCAATGTTCCTGGATAACCTTCTTCACCATCAAATGATCGATACATTAATGTTATTGAATAATCTGTTTCATTTGAAAGTTTCCATTGTCGTTTATCGAATCCAATTTGACCACCATGTAAACTATTTTCACCATTATTTCTATGTAGATGATATTGTTGTTCATCTAAACAAAACGTTCCATTTGCAATTCGATTGGCAAAACGGCCAATTGTTGAACCAAAATATGGATTTAATTTGGATTTATATCCGAAAATATCATCGAAACCAAGAACTAAATCACGTTCAATTTGATTATTATCGGGATATTTTATCTGTACTATTGTTGCACCATAATCAATAATTTTAACCATTAAACGTCCATTGGTCAATGAATATAATGTAACAATATTATCATTATCACCGCCATTATGGAATATTGTTTTTTCGATTGGCATTGTTTTGTTTGTTTTTTTTTTGTTCACTAAATCGAATTTATTGAGTAAATTATGATAAGGAAGAAAACTTTCACAAAAATAATTCATAGAAACCACCCACAACTACAACGACCTTTTTATCCTAAACAAAAAATCAATTTATTTCATTTAAAAGAAAAGATAAAAATTTGGAAAAACAATTCATTATTTCTATAAATAATAAATATAAAAAAAAATCTATAGATATTTCTTTACACGAACACATCAATGATTGGAAGAAAATGGTGGTAAAGCAAATTTTTCAGGTTTGAAATCCAATAAGGAATTCAATGTATAATGAGCATCAATCTGTTGTTTTGATCGAATTTGTGGATCGGGTATCCAAACAGATATCATACCAGCTGCATTTGCTGCTCGTACACCGTTTGTTGAATCTTCAAATACAAGTACCGATGTCATTTTGGTTGGTGGTGGTCGAAAACGACTAGCACAAACTAAAAATGTTTGTGGATCAGGTTTACCCGCAGTTATTTCAGGATCTTCACTTGCAATAACAATATGATCAAATAATTTGAATAGATCACCATGTTCTTTGGTTTTTAAATCAAATGTATAACGTTTACTACTGGTTGCAATGGCAATGGGAATTCGATGATCATAAAGATGTCGAATTAAACGTTCAGCACCGGGCATCACTGGTACATGACCACCAAAAACTTTTTCATGTTCAATGGTCATTTTGGCTACAAATTCATCCACCGACAATGGTAATTGACATTCATTGATAATAATTTCAGCACCCTCCAAACCAGAACGACCCATAATTTTAATTTTCAAATCTAATGTATATTCTTTTCCATAATTACCAAGAACATTTTTATATGCTTTTGCATATAATGTTTCCGTATCAAGTATAAGTCCATCCATATCAAAAATTACATGAGTTATTTGATGTGATGATGTTTGTCGTTCCATTATTCTATAATCGAAATAAAAACAGAAATATATCCAACAAAAATAACTTCTTTTGAACAAAAATTAAAATTGAAAAATTTGAAAACTTGTTGATTTGGGGAAAAAAAATTCAAACTTTTATGAATGAAATGATAAAATATGCTCTTTCCACCTAAATGATATCATCATTGTAGATATAGAAATTGTATTCAATAAAATACAGGTAAACTTCGATTTTTCGCTTTCTAATTCAACATTTATTAATCAATCAAAAACTTTGATATATCTTTCGTAATGAGATTATATTCAAATTTGAGAATAATCTTTATCAGATTTACAAACTATTATTCAAAAATTGATCAATCTTGCCCAAATGTAAATTGTCAACTAAAAAAATTATACCAAAACAACACTGTATTACGCATGTTATTGTTGGAAATGATGATTATCCCCCTGTCTCTCACACTGTGATTAATATAAAAAAAAAATCAATCATCATCATTGAGAAATTGGGAAGTGAAGAGAGAGAGAGAGAAAAAAAAATGGTATCCCTTTTCGCGGATTAAATGTGTGATACATTCGATTTTTTTTTTCACTTCACTATTTATTTTTTATTGCGCATATTCCATTTGGGCAAGCATTTTGTTGTTATTGTTATTGTTGATATATTTGGCATTTTAAAGACAAAATATTTAATCTTTGTAATTTTTTTTTTATTACTAAGATGATTTGGATGCACAATTATTGACATTATCAACTGATTCTTCTTCAATAAAATTTCATCATTATCATCGTAATTCTTCATGATTATAACCATTATTGTTGAAAAAAATCGAGACCAATTTTTTCACTCAATTCATTCATCATATATGAAATGTATGCATTTTTTTCCTAACAAAAAAACATTATTCATAGATTTTTTTTCGTTGTTGTAAAATAATTATCGCTCATCACTCTCTTTATTGAATGATTTGTCATTTTGATTTTAGCAGCTATCATCATCATCATCATAATCATTAATATTACGATCATTGCTGCTGCTGCTTCTATATGTTGTCGTTTGTGTGTGTATGATTTCTGTTTCTCTATTACAATTTATAAATCGATATTTGATCTAAAATTAACAGCAAAATTGTTCAAAATTCCAGTTAATTGCTTATTTTTCCGCCACAAACAAACCAACAACATTTTTGTTTTCTTTACAAATGATGTTTGTACTTTATTGATCAGATCGATGTTGATAGGAAAAATATTTTTTTTTGATTATTTCAAAACAACCAAAAACCTATACAAATATTTTATGAAAAACTGTGGCAACGTTTACATTTGATACGAATCATTCGATTTTATTTGAATTTTATTGATTTTTTATTGATTTTGTTGTTGTTGTTGTTGTTACTGAATTTTTTTTCTGTCTGTTCAATCAAAATCCTTTAACTGTAAAATTTTATCCTATAATCATCAATTATAAATGGTATGTATGTTTTTTCGACAAAACAAAACAAAAAAACACTGAAAAAAATATTCATTTTCTTCATCAGCCACCACCACCCTCTATCCCTGTATATCTTAATTTTTTCCGATGATAATGATAATGATGATGATGATAATGATGATCACATTGCTGTTGTCATTTAACTTGTTGTTCACACATAGACACTACTATCATCGATATCGATGCACAACATTTTGAACTATCGATGTACCTGAAAGTTGAAAAGAAAAATTTTCCAGGCTTTTTTTCTGGAAAAAGAAAGATTTGAAAAATTTCCTTCAATTCGAAACTTTTCGTTTTTGTTTTTGTTTTGTCCATTCAGAACAGATGAGGAAAATTTGTTCGATTCAAATTTGTTTGTGTTTGAGGAATTGTTTGGTTAAAAAAAAAAAGAAATTTATTTGTTTTTTTTTCTCTGAATCAATTTCAGTTTGTTTTTTTCTTTGTTGATGACCTTTTTTTCCTGTTACTTTTTTTTCATCATTAGTTGCTAATCAATTTGAATTTTCATGCTTTCATTTTCTTGAATTATACTTTCTACATGAACAAATGCATAGAAAACATTATTGATAAGCAAGTAAAAAAAAGTCGTTTTTTTCTGGATAAGATTATCATCTATAGATTATTTTCTTTGCTGTTTGTGAATGATAATTTGACAAAAAAAATGAAATGATAAAAAAACTGACGATTATCAACTGAAAACAAAAATTATCAATAATAACCAGGTTTCTTACTGGCTGGTTGTTTGAGATTATTTTCCTTTCTCCTTCATCATATTTTTTCTGTTTGTTTATTTTCATAACAATTTTTGTAAATTATAAAATTCACTCGATAAATTGAGAAAACATTTTTAATTATTTTCTTGTCTTAACTTTTTTTTATTGTTTTTCAAAATATAGTTCGAATAAAAACATTGTAAAAAATGTCAACCAATTCGAAAGCCGATATTAAATCTGAACAAACTCAACAAAAACATCAACAACAACAAGAACAAAATGGTTCAGCAATCGATGTACTTAATATTACCAATACATTATTGGCCATATTGATTGTTTATGCTTTGTATAAATTATTCGGAAAGAAAAAAAGTATTGTTATTTTTGTTTTTAATAATTTTATTTTTGAATTTTATTTTTAAAATGTTTACTAAAATTTTTCATTTTTGGCTAGAAACAGGAAACGATGATGGTGAAAGATTTCGATTACCTGATCCATTACCTAAACATGATATGACATTAGATGAATTACGACGTTATGATGGAACCGGACCAGATAAACGTATATGTCTTGCTATATTAGGTCGTGTTTATGATTGTACAAAAGGACATGAATATTATGGTCCTGGTGGTGCTTATTCACCATTAGCCGGTCGTGATGCAAGTCGTGCATTGGCTTTATTTGATTTGAGTGCAGTTAAAGATGAATGGGATGATATTACTGATTTAGATTCAAATCAATTATCATCTGTTATGGAATGGAATGAACAATTTCAAGAAAGATATGATTATATTGGACGTTTAGTACGATCCAAAGAAGAGATATTAGAACGTGCTGATTTTGAAGAAGATATCGATATTGGTGGCGAAAAACAAAAAAAATCATCAATGAAAAATGATAAACAACAACATTCATCAACGACCGATGATGATGAAATCGAAGTTATCAATAGTAGTGAACAAGAATCAACTAATGGTAATATGGGTAATACAAGTAAAAAAGTTTCATTTATGGATGCCAAACACAAAAAAAATGATAGTGGTGATGATGGAAAGAAATTGTCCGAATCATCCGATGATATTGAAGTGATTGAAACAGCAGCAAAAAATGATACTGATAATTGAAAACAGAAAGAAAAAAAAACGTAACAAAAGAAACAAACTGTCCATAAAAATTGACATTTTTGATTCTGATTCATCATCAACCATCATTTTTGTCTCATCATCATCATCATCATCATCATCATTATTATTAAACGACATAATTCAAGATGGACATTCGTAACCATCTATAATCAACATTGACAGATTTATTCTTGCATTTTTTTTACACAGCATCATAAAACACAAAAAGAAAAAAACGAACGAATACTTCCGGGCAAGATTTTTGATTTTTTCATCAAACAAATTTTTTTTTTGGATTGAAAAGATCAATGAATGATTCGATCATTCACTACAGAACAGATTTATACTTTAAAAATTCAGATTTTTTTCTTTGGTGTTTTGTTTTTTTTTCCTCGATTGCTTCCAAATCCTCACAATTTATACGTTTATTACAACAACATACCATATGATTATCATTTGTTTGTTTATTATTTTTTTTTCAACCAACAAAAAAAAAATATTACATTAATGATTTATTGTGAATATATAAGAATTTGAATGTTTTGTTCAATTTTTTTTCAAACAACACAAAACAAACAAACAAACACTCACACCTATATATAAATATACCACAGCTTATATGACAAAATGATAATTTTGTGAAAACTTAAATTTTATTTTTTACAAACACACACATAAACAAACACATTTCATACGTAATTGTAAAATGTAAAATTTATAATAACACACACACACACAAACCAGACGCTGGATATATGACATGATGATTTGGGCCAAAATTTTTTTTTCAATTGAATTTTTGTTAAATAAATGTAATTTTTTTTTTTTCAAATAAAAATCAATAAATCAGATTTTTTTTTTAAATTGATTCAAAAAACATTTTTTTACTTTAATCAATCAATAGATGGCTGTACTTGAAAATAAACATTGTATTTGAGCGGTTATTTGTTTTCAAGGTTCGATAAATATCGATGGAAAACTTGTGTTTTTTTATTTTAGATTTTTGGTTTTTGCTGATTAATTAGATTTTTATTTTGTTTTGTTTTGTTTCAAAATTCATTTTGTAAATAATAACGAAACATTTTTTTTCGATGACTGAAAAAGATAAAAGTTTTCAAAAACTTGAAGAACGAACATTGGTCGTTCGTAATTTTGATCCCGATTTAACAACCAAAGAATTATTGGAAGAATTATTCTCCAATTTTGGACCAATCAATAATGTTGTTCTTAAACGTGATTTTGCTTTTATAGGTTATACCGAACCAGAATCGGTTGCATATGCTTTGTAAGTTTTTTTAATTTCAAATTTGTTTGGGTGGTCATTAATGTTTGTAATTTTTTTTCCTATAAAGAGCAATGATGCACGGAATCTGTTTACATGGTCGTCGTTTAAGTCTTTTACCAAAATTATCATCCAGATCATACTATTATCGTTATCTAGATTCTCTTGAAACATTTGAACGAGAATGCGATAAAAATAAAAAGTTTCTTGATCAATTTCAATCCAGTAAACAGCACGAAGAACGGCAAACGATCGTTAGACAATTTAAAAATTCTAAAAAAGATCGTGAAAAAATTTTGACTCGATTACGTCATTATCGTCGTCATTATGATTCAGATTCTAATTATAATCCATATTTTGGTAGAGATTTAGTTGATGACCGTCATCGTTATGGTCATCGTCATCATGATAGATATGGTGAATATCCGGAACAATATCCTCCTACGATACCACCTCCATCGATGCAACCATATCCAAGATCTGGATTATCAAATGATCATCATTACAATGATAATGTAATAGTGCCTCCAGTGGTAGCACCACCTCAACCGCCAATGTATGATTCTCATCCTTCTCGTTATGAGCATCCACCATATTTACCACCTCCACAATATGGACATCAATATCCTGATCCCCCTTTACCCCCACAATCTGTTCATGCCCCACCACCAGGACCATATTATAATGATCGAATAGCCACATGTCCACCTGGTCCACCTGTACCCTTTGTCGATTATGGATATCATTCATATGATGGACCACCACGCCACCATTCGACACGAGAAAATTTTCATCGTGGCATGGGCCGTTATCATCGATAATTAATTAATCATTATCAAATAATGAAACAAAACAAAAAAATACAATCAATTTTTTTTCTAAAAATTCATTAATCTTCATTCACAATTTTATATTTTGAATACCTCAGGATTAAATTAAAATGTATTTGATTCAATGTTGTTATTGTCGTTGTTAAATGATTTGAAAAATAAAATTTCTAAATAAATTCTATCCAAATTGGCTATAGGAATAGGAAGATTATCTAACTATAAAAAAAAGAGAAAAAAAATTCCAAAGAAAAATCATTCATTTTGATTCATTTGAAACTCAATTAACCTTGGATAGGAACCGCGAAAACATGTTCAGTAACATTATTATTACTTTCTTTTTTTCTGGTTATGTTTATGATGATCAACTATATATGTAATTATTTCATTTCATTCAAATAATAATATTCACTTTTACTTTTAATTATTATCATCATTTAATCTTGAATTGTGAAAATTTTAACATTGATATCCTTTATGTCGTCGTAAAATTTTGTCATCGTTAAAGCTAGAAAAAACTCTTTATATTAAAATTATATGGCCATTCAGGTTAATCATAAAAAAATAACTTACAAGTTAATTATGGAATCAATCATTTTTTTTGGGTTGTCGTATGAAATTGAAAATTATGTGAAAGATATTATAGCTGCTAATAATAATTATGTATATGACCTTTATGTAAATGAAAAACAAAAAACATATCAATTTCATTATTAATGTTTTTTTTTCAGGAGAATCATTCGGAAATATTGAATGTACATTTTGCGTGCCAACAACATTTCTTTTTTCATTATCTTATTGGTGATGTTTGAGATTAATTGGAAACGGTGAAAAGAAAAAAAAATAAAAGTGTGAATGATTATTGTGTGACAATTTCGATAACTAAATTGAATGTATAATGAAAATTTTCATCGAAAATGATTATCATTCCTCCCAAAAAAATTCACGCTAAACAAGTGGTCACTTTCTATTTTTATTTTTGATGTAAAAACCTTGAAAATCATTATCGTTATCACCGAAAAAATGAAGAAATGTATACTTAAACTTACCATTAAAACTTTTTGAAAAATATGATTATCATCTCTCTTCAAATAATTTGAAAATGAAATTCTTGCTAAACATCAAAAACACAACAAGCAAACAAACAAACAATCGACTGATTAAAATCTTAGTCTCTGTGTATATGAAATTATGCCGAAAAAAAAACAACTTCAAACAGAAATCATTGAAAAAAAAAATATAATTAAAAATCATGGTATGACAAACACAACTTTAAGGATTATTATTGTTTTTTCAACAAAAATCTATTCGAGAATCATCATTGAAGTATCGTTTGAATATTATTATCTTTTGTCATCAACTTGACTATATTTTATTTTAGCTGAAAAATCAGTGAGAATAATGATAAATGACCACAATATTGATGAATAATTCTTCGAACATAAAACATTCATATCCGGTCGAACACTATCATGATCGATATAATCGATATCAAAAACAATCGATTCGAATATAATTTTTTGTTTCCTCATTTTAATACCTTTTAAAACAACAACAACCCAACAATCATCGATAGATTAAAAACACCAAAGTCAAATTGTTAAAAATGATGAGATTCTTCTTTGACTTTTTCTCAATTTGATTTAATAATGTTTTTCTTTTCTTTTTTTTACAATCATTGTTTTTCCCGGATCTTTTTTTTTGTAGTTGATTCCTCAAATGTCTGTATGTAAAATATTAATGACAATTATCATCCCATTAAAAATCTATCTATTTCTTTCTTTCTTTTTCCATTGAATCGACCATTTTCTTTATACAAACGAAAATTTCTTTTCTTTTTTTTATCGATGGAGAAAAGATCATCGTCGTTGTCGTTATGATGAATTTATGATGTCTCTCTTTCTCTTGTTGCCACTCTTCACCGTTATTGTCATTTATGATCATCATCATCATTAGCGATACAAGAGTCATTGAATGTTATTGACTAAATTTCCATCATCATTTCATCTATTTGTCTAATATATTTCGTTTTATCCACAACTTTATTGAACAAGAAACAAAAGAACAAAAACAAAAACAAAACAGCAAAAAATCCGATTGGACAGTGTTGATTGTTTCTCTCAATAAAATTTACGGTGAAAAAAGAAATAAATTTACACAATATCTTCTTACTATTTATCTCTATGTGCAAATGTTTCAAACGAAATGAAATGTTGTTTTGTTTAAACATTTCACTTTAATTTATCAATAAATTTGTCGAGTTGTTTGTTTTCAAACATTGATTATCGTCATAATGAAAGATTGGCCAATCACCTATAGAAAAAGTAAAAATATTCAATCAAATAAAATCGATTAATCAATTAATTAGATTAATTAATCAATAATCAATAATCATCATTTTGTTTATGATTGAATTATCGAATCGATTAATGAATTCCCGAAAAAAAATGAATGATTCGAATTCGAACAACACATGCGCATGAATTATTATGACGTTAAAGATATTTGTCGAAAAATTTTGTTTTCCTCGACAATCTCATTTCATTCGAATTTTGTTTTTTTCGATAATTCAAAAATTTTTTGTTGGCGATTGCATCGATGTTGTGATGATATCTGAATTGAAAACAAAAATTTTCTCATTAAAATATTTGATCAAAATGAATCATCATCAGGTGTACAAATGAAAAATTTGTTATCATCGAATCAATCTTGATCAGTAATTTTGGCATTTGAAATAATTTGTTTTTGGGTTTTTGTTTTATTGTTTGTTTGACCTTTGATTTATTGTCATCATAATCATCTCATCAAATTAATTTTAATTGTAGTTATTGTTTTTCAACAATCAAAATATATAATCATCATGGATTCAAGAATCTGGTCATCATTATCAATAATGTTGATTATCATAATTCTGTCAATTGTTTTCAATCCATTATTAGCCATATCGATTATTGATGATAAACAATCGCCTTCACCATCATCGATATTAACAAAAAATTCTTCATTCGATAATCGAAATCATTCAAAATTAAATGAAAAATGGCCATCAAAATCTTCTATCAAACCTCAATCATCCATATCGGAAAAACATCATCATCATCATCATCATCATCATCAAACTTTATCAAATTATACAAAAGCTGCAATATGGATACAGAGATTTAATTCACGATTTCAACCACTATTGAAACATTGTTTACAATCAACTTGTCAGGTAAATCCCAAATCAAAATATAATTTTTTTTCAAAAAAAAAACACACACAAAGTTTCGTGATGAAATATGAATGTGTTTAGGAAATGTGTGAACCGAAAAAAAAATTGATCAATTTGTTGTTGAATTTTTGTTTCTCATTATTTCGGATGTTTATATTTGCCAATTTCTTTTTTTTCTCATGATGATTTCGTGAATCTCAATTATCACTGAATCTTTTCTTTTTGTTCTTGTCATTTCATTTATTTATTTATTTTGTCAATTATTTTGCTTTTCAACAGTGTCTAGCCGATCTAGATAATTTGGCCAAAATGGCCAATGTACCTGTAATTATTCGACCAGATAATCATACAAAACAAATTAATCTAACATCAAATCAACGCCGTCGAATGGCAACTATATTATTGACAAATATAATACGTTTAGATCGATTTCAACAAAAATGGACGGAAGAAAATTTAATTGATGATGACAATCAAGATGGAATGGGAAAACAAAAAAATCAACTAGATTCATGGTATGAATGTCGGTTATCAAGTGAGTTTTTTTCCCCACTTTTATTTTTGTTTGTTTACATTGATAAAAGTGTTGAAAAAAAGAAGTATGTTCCAATTGAACGAAAATCAATAATTTTTCATCAAAACAAATGTAAATTTCATCATCATCCCTATCGAAAATGATGAGGATGATGCACGAAATATGTAGATCTTTGAGAAAAAGTTTCAAGGATAATCAAAATAGTGTGATAGACAATAGTATGTGTAATGAGAAACAAAACAACTGCTGCTACTGAACAATTTTTCAATTATTACGAAATAATATGAAACATATTAAATAGATAGCGAAAAAGACAAAGTAAACTTAAAGATAATCAAGCATATAGAAAAGAAAACAAAAAAATGAACTAACGGAGAAAATGTATTTCAGGTTTTTAATCATAAATCATTTTTTTTGAGAAAAAAGAAAATTTTGTCAATTTTGTTGTTGTTGTCTGAATTACATCATAGAAATTGTATCATTGATTGAGAAATAAAGACAATAACAATTTTGATTGTTTTGCTTTAACCCCAAAATCATATGATAATTATCAACATAATAATAATCAAAAAGGGAAAAAATAATAATTGAATTAAAATAATAAAATTTTAATGATTAATCCAGATCATGTAACCCAGTGAAAATTTTAATAGACAAACGATGGCCGCTGGTCAATTTCTTTTCTGTACTGAAATATCGATAAGCAACAAACATAATCAATGTTTTCTCATGAATGAATACATTGATACCATTAATTTGATGATCAAGGTGATTTAGGATTTTTTTAAAAATATATCTCAATCATTTTCTCATTCAAATAGACAAAACCAATGAAGTAAATACCAATAAATTAGTACGACAATAAAAGTCAAAATTTATATAGTGTTTGTGTTTGTTTGTAGGTCTTTGGATCAATCAATTTCATTAAAATATCAAATAATGATTGATTATTTACTTACTCTGTAGACTGTTGTGTTTACTTTTAAGCAAAATTCCCATTAAATTAGAAACTTTGTTTCCTAATTTGTTGTCTTGTTAAATGTAGGTTATACTAATCTATTGTTTTTTCATTGTTTTTTGTTTTTGTTTTTTTATTTGACTTTTTTCCGAGAAGAATCCATTTGTCCGAAAGATTCATTACCAAATAATCATTATGATCAAAATCGACAACAATTATTATCATTATTAATGCCGGATTTTTTTGCCGAATCACAACGTACAATGAATGAAAGTGAAAAATCATCATTATTTTCATTTGAATTTGTACAAAATCTTGATGATCTATTAAGACGTTTAAGTCGTAATTTAATTTCATTACCACCTATTTCATCATCATCAAATGTATCGATGAAATTGGAAAAATGGTTTGGTCGTGAAAATATTATTGATGATTTAAATCGTATTCATTTGAATGATACTAATGATTCAAGTTTAATTATCGAAACAATGGCATTAATCATTGTGAATCGATTGGTAAAAGGTGAAAAAATTGAATTATTTGAATCAAGATTTTTGCGTGATATAATCGATAGATATGGTAAAAAATATTCACAATCCAATTCAATTCAATCATCATTTTCAAAGGAAAATATTGCTGTCATCGATCAATATGGATTGGCCAGATTACTCAATGATCTTCATATTGGTGGCCTTATTGATCAATCAGATCATGAATCCAGTATACCTCAACATCGTGGACATCGATCTGTATTAAATAATCCACATAATCACCAGGTTAAATTTCTTATATCCGCTATGAATTCTATTGCCAACAACAATCCAATTGGAAAAAATCTTGAATGTTTTAATTATGATTTCTATATGGGACTCATCAAACAAATTCAACATCCTACAAAACATGAAAATGATGTTCATAATCAATCGGAAATGAATTTTCTAACTGAAAATGTTCTTCAACATTTAGCACCAATTTTTCTACAACAAATTCTTTCGAAAGCCTGTGAACGTTCGTCATTCGATAATCATGATAATATTGAAAAAAGAAATGCATCACATGAACAACATCAATCCGAATCAATTGTTAAAGAGTTTGAACATGTTGATAAGATTGATAAAGATGATGACCACAGCATCGGTAAAGGTGAGTTCAATTTTATAGATTTTTTGAATTGAATCAATTTTGATTAACAAAATAATTACATTCCAAATAAAATAGCTCTTCTATATGGTAATATTTGTGTTTTCATTATAAGTTTATCATCATTGGGAGGTGTATTGCTCATACCAATTCTTGAAAGTCGCGCATTTGCATTGACCATACAGATGTTGATCGGTTTAGCATTTAGTTCAATGTCTGGTGATGCATTATTTCATATTATTCCTGCCGTTCTTGGTATTCATTCACATGATCATAATGATAACAATTCAACCGATCTCCATCATCACCATCATGATGATGATGATGGTGAAAATCATTTCGAATTTCTTTGGTTGATGGTTGCCATATCTGCATCAATCTATGTATTATTTCTTTTCGAAGTGATCTCAAATTCATTGGCCAAATTAAAAGAAAAGGCAAAAAAATCTGTTCATCTATCTAATGTTAATGATCATGGACAACAACATTATCCACATCATCATCATCATAAGAAACATCATCATGACCATCTTCATGGACATTTTGCACAATCACAAAATAACAATATGAAAGAATCAACTTCATCGATTCAGGTAGAATTTTCTTTATTGTCCGATTAATTTTCAGAAAATTATACAAAATTTTTCTATCATCTCACAGTCTTCTTGCAATTCATCAAAATTGTCAACAACAGAAATGGCCATTACGAATGATAAGTCATTATCTTCAAATAATAAAATTGAAGATTCAGCTAACACTTTAAGTCCACAAATATTAACATCATCCATTTCGAATACAGAATTGATTGTTGATCCGAGTGTATCTTCGAAAGATATTGATGATAATAGTAGTAAAAATAATATAATCTGTCTGGGAATGACATCGCTAGCATTAATCATTACGATTAGCGATTCCATGCACAATCTTCTTGACGGTGTTGCTATAGGCATTTCATTTTCAAGCAGTATTACACGTGGATTATCTGCATCAATCGCTGTGTTTTGTCATGAATTACCTCATGAATTTGGTGATTTTGCTGTGATGTTATCAACCGGTATGTCAGTGAAACGTGCAGCCATCATAAATTTTGTTTCGGCATTGACCTGTTTTATTGGATTTTTTATTGGGATATTGTTGGGCAATTCGGATCAAGCTAATCGATGGTCATTGGCCGTATGTGCCGGTCTTTTCCTCTACATTGCACTCTGTGATATGGTAGGTTTTTATTTATCAAGTAAAAAAAGTTATTTCCACTCTTATTTCATCTCTACTTTAGTTACCCGAGCTTAAAGAAATGGCCGATCCAATATTTACACGACAATGGTGTTTATCATTTTTATTAAAAAACATTGGCATCATTTCGGGTTATATTTTCATGATTTTAATTGCCCTATACGAAGATAAAATTAATTTTGCCTAATACATTTTGAATCCCACTAAAAAAAACTTTAAATCATGAAATAATTTGACAATTCCAAAACAAACATTTCATTCGCCCTGTTTAATACAGTCACACACACGCTCATTACTGGTTATAAAAAAATTGATTTTTGTAAATATTAATCCAGAATCGAAATATTTTATTCAAAAATAATTTAAGGGAAAGGAAAATAATGATTGATTAATGAGAAAAAAATGATGATTAAAAAAAATTAATGACGTTTTGATAATCAAAAAATAATAATAATAATAAATGCTATACAATGAGAAATGAGATTGTGACAAAAAAAAATGAATGAATGAATGAAAAAGAAAAGAATTTAAAAAAAAAATTCAAGTTTTCGATTGGTAGGTGGATTTGAATTTATCGTCAAAATAATGATGATGAATGTGAATAAATAAGTTAAAATGATGATGCGATATTTTGTTTTTCTCTTGATTTTTTTTTGCATCAAGAAAAAATGTTATAAAGATTTGTTAGTGGTTGTTCATAAATGTCCAATAGAAAAAAAGGTGATCACCATATATAAATGAAAAAAATGTCTGTTTTTTTTTTGGTTTAATTGAAAATTCGGGATATATTTTCAATGATACATAACATAGCCATTTGTAGTACCGGCTGATGCTTGTACCCGTGGTGATAATACCGATGAACTACCTAGATAAGCACCATTTGTACCATTACCCGACATGACCGGTATGACTGTCTGTTGTGATCCATAGCTACTATCATGACAATTTTGTTCATGTTTACCACGTTTACCATTTTTAATCAATTGTGCTTCTTTTGCCGAAGTTTTTTTACCTGAAGATTTTCCATTTAAATGTACCGAACCATGTAATATTGCTGCTGTAGCCACATGATCACCATAAATTGAACGTTTACGGCAACACATTACCACTGAACAAGTGCAAAAAAATAATGCTAAAGTCGATAATGTTACAAAACATACGAGAAAATTAATCGATGACATGCAAATTTTTTCATTCATCTTTTCCGAAAGCCAAGATTTTGGTCCATTTCGATAATGATTATTACTATTTGATGTTCCATTAGATGTTTCATTCGTTTCCGTAATTGATTGTTCAGCAGTCAATTTATCCGATGTAGCAAAACTAAGATCACCAGTAGATATGACACGGATGATTTTTTCCACGCCAACTTCTTTAGCTGCTGTAGCATTTGTTTCCTGGAGGATTTCTTTCAATTCACCACTTACATCACGAACTTCACGAGGTCTAGCCAATACACTATTATCCGATCGTCCAGGTAGTTCACCGATTTGTGCAGCTGCTGATGGCATATCTGAACCAAGATAGATATCACTACTACTACCGCCCATAATATCTCGATGATTTTGTAGATTTTGCATTGTACCAGAAATCTGATGATTAATATAATGAATATTTGATTGTCCAGATTGATCACATTGTTCCGGACAACTATTTTTACAGATCTGTATGGTACATTGAAAATGTACTTCCATTGAATCGGGAAATTTGAATGCTTGAAAATGTGCATAACTCAACACCGATGCACTTGAGCCAAAGTTTTTGATCTTCGTAAACTTAGACATAAGTTTTGATCGTACAATACAACCATTAGTATCGACCAATTCGATCGGTGCTCGTTTACCATCATGAGCTACACAATTTCTAACCAACATATCGAATTTATTTTCCTCATCTTTGATAGCCAATACCATTGTCATTGTTTGACCAATCTTTACAATACCAGCTACTTCACTTGCCCATGGACCACGACCAACTTGAATCTGCATCCAACAACCAACATTATCACCAGCAAAATCGGCACGAACTACATCAACCATATCGACTGGGAATGGACGGAAGGATACAGATTTTTCATATTGATCATGCCATGTACATCGAAGTTTTCGTGCTTGATCCCAAGCTTCTTGTACAAATGGATCATATTGAAATATGACAGTATTTTCGAAAAAGTTTCCAGCATTAACGTTGCCAAAGGCAGTCAATGAATTTGGTCCCATATTACCGGTAGTACCACAACTATCAATACGTATATCGAAATAGATTGATGAACGACCAGAACTGGATGGCAAATGTATACAATTTGGTTGACTAAAATGTCCTTTACTAAATATGATACCATTGAATGGACGATCAAATTCAACTGAAACTTTCATAAAATTCTTTTCACATTTAACATCTAAATGAACAATTTTAGCTAATTCAGGTTGTGCAATTGGCCATATTTCATTCGATGCTGTTTGACGATCATAATCTGAGTAAAAGAAAAAGAAAAAGATTAAAATGAATAGAAGTTTGACAAATTTCAAATCTTTTATTACCATTAATCAATTCATTATGTCTGTTATTATCATCTCCGGAATCAATATATTCAGCAATAGTGTGAAGCATTGGATCAATACCACTCATACCTGTTGGTTCATTATCCATATGAGCTGGTGATCCAGGCGGACCTTGTTGTTGTTGTTGTTGTTGTGGCTGTTGTTGGGGTGGTGGTGGTGGACCTTGATGATGAATCATTTGCATTTGTGATTGAGGTGGCATCAATGATTTTGGTCCTGATTGCATAAGTCCATGTGGTGGTAATGATTTAAACATTGGTTGATGGCCACCAAATCCAGGTGGAGAATGTTGATGTTGAAATTGTGGCATTGGTGGTCCTCTATGATTGGGACTTGGTCCATTTGGTAAAAATGGTGGTCGCATTTGTGGTGGACCAGGTTGACGCATCATTTGTGGTCCTGGACCACGCATCGGTGGTGGTGAATGATGAATTTGTGGTAATATATTCGAACCGGATGTCATTAATGGACCATTCAAAAATCGAGTATTGAATCGAAGATCAAATGGCAGTCGAGCAAACTAAAGATAATGAATTTGCATATTTAAAAAAAAAATAGTTCCAAATATTTTTGATATCAAAAAATCATACCGGTCTTTTAAGTTTGGAAAGAGAAAATTTAGAATCCGATTCTGCACCCATAAGATCAGATTCGGAATCAACAACGGATGCATGTGATAATGATGATGGTCCAATTGGACTTGGTATACGCATTGTTCCATCCATTGTTGATTCATTTGCAAGTAAATCTTCAACCATACCGGGTGTTAAATGTTGTGGACCATTATTATTTGATCCATCACCACCACCACCACCATTATTATTACTACCATCATGATGATGGCTACTAACACCGATTGATGAACTAACATCAATGGAATCATCACTTTTATGTGTTGGTGAATCAATAGAAGGATCGGCAACGGCAAACAATAAGTAAGCCTATCAAATGAAGAAAAAAAAAAGATGCAAAAAATATTAAATTTTTTCAAAAAATTATAATAATTTCAATTTCAAAACCAATCAAATAATTCTTCAGTTTTGTATTTATAAAAAGGAAAAAACAAAAACATTAAATTCAAATATCAAATATTCGAATATCGATTAATATTCAATTATAGATTAACCTAGTTTCTATAGATTTGATTTATTCATGAAAAAACCTCTTATGTTGAGCAACACAAAAAATAAAGGTTACGGTAACTAAAAAAAACAAAAAACAAAAATCGACTTTGACCTTCTCATGATACTGACCCTATTTCTCTCTCTCTCTCTCTCTCTCCCAATCATATTGATCGGATAATAATGATAATCAAGTTATTTATGTTTCTAAATAAGAAACGAAAAAAAAAACGAAATATAAATTATTTATCATCATCATATCAATCACTATTTTATTTTTTTTCGGTTATACCTTGTTGTTCAAAGATTTCCGATTTTTACCATCAAGAAACAAAAAAATAAATAATTCGATTGATAGCTGTAAATATCACGAACACACATATACTATCAACGATACCACTACCCACTAATACTGTTATGGATATCATCATCATCATCCATAATCATAGCCATCGGTCATCATTAATATGGATTGATATCATGAGATTAATTCCTGTTTTTTTTTCTTCTACTTCTTCTATTTCTACTCATTTCATTCAGACAAACAAAACGAAAATGTTGTCGATATCTCTTCACCACCTTAAAAAAAACTCGAAATTCCAATCCCGAATCGGTAGGTCAATAAAAGCCGATAAATATTTTGGAAGAAAAAAAAGTGGAAATAAAAAATTCGGCTGTTGAAATCACGATTTTTTATGTTGACCGGTTTTTGTTTTTCTCGTACTCATCATCATCATCATCATCATTTTCCTAACTCCCGGCTATCTATATCCAATCTATTGGTTGATGATAATTCGGGTAAAAAAATTTCGGTCGAATTTGTTCATGGTTAATGTTTTTTTTTTTCGTTTTTTCTACTGAGAAAAAGAAAAACCGACTGACCGACAACGATATTATTTTAATTTTGATGGTTGATTGGTTAAAAGGTAGTAGAAATATTCTAGGTTCATTTCAACATCTTCGATGATCTTAATTATCATTTTGATAAATTTTATTTTTTGGTTGGCTGGTTGTTTTTCAAGGGGATCGGTAGGAAAAAAAACTTTGATATCACATCTTAAAACATTCATTCCAATTGATGATGATAAAGAGATAGAGAAAAAAAATTAAGGAAATCATTGACGAGAATTAAATATTTTTTGCTTTGGTTATCTTTCGATATATCTAATAGCTAAATCAAAAAAAAAATTGGTGAGAAATAGAATAAGTCGATTACAGTTAAAAGAAGAAATACGAATTCGAATGGTGATCGGTAATACCATTCACCAGGATGATGATGGACCAAAAAAAAACTTCAATGATATTCATTTTTTTCGAAGTAAAATAAGCTTGAGAGATCATCACCATCATCATTGATTATCATTATGAGAAGATTGAATTTTTTCTTCTTCGATAGATTAATTATAAACGATGATATATTATTGTGGTAAATAACGGTAAATATTAGAATAACATTCCATAAAAAATACATGATTAGGTTGAAATAGTTTGGAATATTTTTGTTGTTGTTCATGCGCTGTGTTGATTTAGATCACTCAAATCATTCGAAATTCGAATCATCAAATCCAATTAGCAAAAATGAAAAAAAAAATAGATCATTAAATCAATCAATCAATTGATTTTCGATCAAGAACAAAACCAAAACAAAACAAACGAAAATCCTTAATCATCAAAAACATTATTATATTTTCGTGATCGATTTTTTTATCGCGTGATCTGATAATAAATATATTTGATTCGAATTTTGCTAATTCCAATTTTAAATGATCTATTTTTTTTAAATCAAAACAGAACCCTAAATTCTTTTCTACAATTTCAACATCTGATTGATTGAATCACTATTAACTATAGGTAACATCGTTGTAAATGAATTATTTGATTTTTTTAAACTAAAAAAAAATAGACCAAATTTATCATACGGTATGTCATAGGTAGGCAGACTGGTAATAAATTTTTCCGTTTTTTTTTCTTTCTTAACGAATAATAATTAAAGAAAAATAATTCATTTTCATTGTCATTTCAATGATGATGATGATGATAATCTTGATCTTGAATTAGGTAAACATGAATTGCAAGAAAATAAATAAATAAATAAATTTCATTTTGCATTATCATTCATTATCATCAGGTAAGAAAAAAAAATATTTCGAAGAAATATCTTTTCATCGTATCTTTTGCCATCACCAATAAAAAGGTATGCATGATAATCGTTTATTTAGTTTTTTTGGCGTGTGTGTTGGTGGAAAATAATGTCGAAAAAAACGACAACGACGACAACGAAGAAATTCCAATGGTCTTTTTTTTGAGCTGCATTATCATTGCAATAATCCAGTTACATAAAATCACATCAGCATCACTATTACGACCATTCCTTTCAGCATTCATCATCATCATCATCATCATTATGTCGGATATAAATATATATCCTTAAAAAAACCATCATATATAAGAGCAGTACTTGACTTTAGGTCACCAGGTTTTATCGTAATAACAACATGGTTATAAAAAAAAACAAATCATAATAAAGATAGCAGAAAGGTTTAAGCAAATATTTAAATTTTCTTCACAAAAAAAACCGGATATTTATATGATGACGACCAAAAGACAGGCTACAAATTATTTTGATGTCCACAGCATACATAGAAGAGAAAAACAAAATGTCATCAAGGTTATCGTGGCCAAAAATCAACCTGGCATTTTGTTGTTGTTGTTGTTGTTATGACATCTTGTTTGATTATAGTTTTTGCTTATATGATGATTTATTTTTTCAACATAAAAAAAATATATTAAATTCTTACCAAAAATATATGTCAAATGTGTCATGTTTTTTTTTATTCGTTTCTTTATTGTCATTTCTTCATGGGAATTTGAATTTATTGATGATGATCATGATGATTGGTCATTGATTGATTTTGAAAATAAAATTACAATGAAAAAAAACATTGTTTTTGTTTATTATCTTTTTGAATGAAAAGATTTGCTTCAAGTCATTTTGGTTTGTTTTGTTCGATCAATAATGACAAAATTGCATCATTCGATTCTGATAATCGATACTATCGATATATCGAATATAGACGATACGAACGTTCGAAATGAAAGAGGAATATTTTTTTTTTAAATTAACGAAAAAAAAAGTTAAAATGTGGATCATCGATGATTACCAAATTATTTGATTATCGATTGATCGATCATTCGAATCGAATTGTCGAAAAGACAAAACAAAAACAAACAACAAACAAACAGACCGCGAACAATTTGATAACAAACAAAATCAAATCAAGTAAGTTAAAAAANGCTACAAATTATTTTGATGTCCACAGCATACATAGAAGAGAAAAACAAAATGTCATCAAGGTTATCGTTGCCAAAAAATCAACCTGGCATTTTGTTGTTGTTGTTATGACATCTTGTTTGATTATAGTTGATTTTTTTTGCTTATATGATGATTTATTTTTCCAACAATAAAAAACATATTAAATTCTTACCAAAAATATATGTCACATGTGTCATGTTTTTTTTGAGGATTTTTATTCGTTTCTTTATTGTCATTTTCTTCATGGGAATTTGAATTTATTGATGATCATGATGATGATTGGTCATTGATTGATTTTGAAAACAAAAACATTGTTTTTTCTTGTTGTTGTTGTTGATAATCTCTTTGAATAAAAAGATTTGCTTCAAGTCATTTTGGTTTATTTTGTTCGATCAATAACGACAAAATTGTATCATTCGATTCAGATAATCGATACTATCGATATATCGAATATTGACGATACGAACGTTCGAAATAAAAAAAGAGGAATATTTTTTTCTAAAAAATGGATTTTTTTTAAATTAACGAAAAAAAAGTTAAAATGTGGATCATCGATGATTACCAAATTATTTGATTATCGATTGATCGATAGATCGATCATTCGAATCGAATTGTCGAAAAGACAAAACAAAAACAAACAAACAGACCGCGAACAATTTGATAACAAACAAAATCAAATCAAGTAAGTAAAAAAATGATCGACATTACATTATATGATGGAAAGAGTAAAATTTTATTTGATTTTCTCTTCAATGATGATGATGATGATGATGATCGATTCGATTCGAAATGGATTCAAACAAAGAACAAAAAATAATAATGGCGTTTTTTTCAAAAAGTAAAGAAAAAAATCAAACAGAAATTATCATCCATTATTCTTCTTCTTCTTCAAAATGTGATGTTTTTTTTTCAAATAACCGAAATTGTTTCGCTTTCGTTCATTTATTTTTTTCCAAAAATTTTCAAAAAAAAAATTGTTTAATCAATCAATCAATCATTTCTATTGTGAGTGTGTAGGTGTTTGGATGTTTGTGTGTGTGTGTATGTGTGACCATCATCTATTTTTGACCTAAATGTTGCCAGCCAATTCCCGACAATTCGTAACACATGTCATCATCATCATCATCATTGGTTAGTTTGGTGTCATAAAAATTATCATCATCATCATCACCATCATTATTCATTGTCTAAAAATAAGTTCCACACATACACACAGACAGACAAACATTCCATTGGAATCATAAAAATTTTTTTGTTTTTGTTTTGTTTTTAGCTTTTAACATTTTTGTTGTTGTTTTGTTTTGTTTTCAAGGATATTTTTGGAATTCAAATCACAATCATCATTGTCGGGCCACAACAGCAACAACAACAACAACAACAAGTTGTTCGACCATCAAATCGATCGGTTATTATTATGATGATTTGGTTTATCATCGATCGATTCATCGAAACGAATTGAATAATTTAAATGTCTTTATTTACGACCCAAAGATTTTGAATAATATGATTTTTTCCCCCCCGTTTATTCAAATTTGCAACGATGCAAACAAAATCTTTCGATGAATTCTTTGAATTGAAATTCGAAATCAAAAAAAATTATCGATGATTATCGAATAAATATCGATAGTTATCGATATTTCAAAGGAAGGTAAAATTAATTAAATTGAATTGTTACTTCAAAAAAAAAAACTTTATAATCGACTGAATCACACACACACCCAGAATTATCATCTATATCCAATTTCAATTGATATGATTTTTTTTTGTGAACAAAAAAGTGATTTGCAAAATATGCAAATTTTGGCCATTTTTTAACATCACTTACATCCATCAATCCATTCAATCGGCTAACATGATGATGATAATGATGAAAATGCAAATGTTGTTTTCTTTTTTCGAGGTCAATATTTTAATTCAATCTTTGGTTGATTGGTTGAATTGTTTTTTTTTCGTTCTTCTTCACTATATCCAATAGCCCAATTCGATCCAATCGAATCGAATCGAATATTGAATTGAAAATCTTATATTCGATCATGATTGATATTTATACACATCATATTTTGATCTCTTGACCTTGATATTTTTTTTCAAGGTTTTATTTTTCGCACCCAATATTTTTCCCGTTTAGTTTGATCGATTTTTTTCCGTCTCTCTCTCTCCCCTTTCAAAAAATAATACACTTTTTTTGACCTGATAGAAGGTTAGTTCGAAAGTACTATTATTACCCTACCCTATTGAACACTTAAACAGAACTGCAAAAAAAATGAGACAATCAATGTAGAAATAGTAATAATAATCGAACAATAAATTCTTTTACTCATCATTATGATTTTTTATCTTCTTCTTCAATAATGAATGATTCGATGAATGAAAAAACATCATCATCCATTTCTATCTTTACATTTTATATCGTAAACAAAACAAAAAAAATTGTTGATCAAAGAATAAAAATCAATGGATTATTACCATATGTAACGATGATTAGGATTTACCATTATCATTAAAATCATAATCATCATGATGATCAAACATTATATCGTGAGGATGATGATGATGATGGTGATCAACATATATATAAAATAACAAACAAGAATAAAGTTTACCTTTCTCAATCTCTTTATTCTCATCATCATCATCATCATCATCATAATCATCAACAACAACAACATCGAACCCTTTTATTATCATCATTCAATCCAATCCAATCCAATGAATGAATGAATGAACTTGTGATGGGTGCTGAAGCGAAAAACGAAAAAAAAAGAAGAAAAACTTTCATCTACAAAATTTGTAAGCATATTTTTTTCTGAAATTTATTATTATTATTCAACATATATAAGATATAATCATTATAATTTTTTTTTATATATTTAAAACATAGGGTTCTTTCTATCACTTTGCTTAGAATCATAACCAATCATTTTATTTTCGAGTTGGAAAAAAAAGGAATTGGTATTTGTTTGATGTGCGAATGTGTGTGCATTGAATACCATTATCATCATCATCAATTCGTCGATGATCGGATTCGTATATATATAAACGACCAAAGGTCACGTTTTTTTTCAAACAACAACTCAAATAACCGAATGGATTTGTTTTTTTTTTTTGTATATCAAAATTGTGATTTTTTTTCTGGACATTCGTAAATCTTCAACAAATAAATTATTCTTTTATTATAATAAAAGAGTGTCTGCAAGCAACAACAACAACAACAACATCAAAAAAAATGATGATGATAATAACCGACCTGATGACACGATTTAGGTAATTTTATAGCAAAAAAAAAAGTTTTTCAAGATTTTCATAAATATCTTGTTTGTTACAGATTATCATTTTTTGAAATTTATGTAAATTGAATACGATAATTGGAATTCCGATTTTGTTGAACGTTTGTTGTCAGTGAAGAAAAAAAAACACTAAATAACCCTAAACGAATTTCAAAAAAAAACATAGGTAGGTTGTTATAGTTGATTTTGTTTGTGGTTAAATTATTATTATTATGATAATCATATACAGATTGATAACAACAACAATATGGATGTTAACAACAACAACAATTTATCAACAGGATAATATGATCCAGATTTTTTTTCATCTTCATCTGGCTGATGATAATGATAATGATTCAGGTGTGGGTGCGATGATGATTTATACTTGTATAATTCAAATAATGTTGATGATGATGATGATTTGTTTGAAAATATGGAAATCAAAGAATTTCTTATTTTTGTATATTTGGATACAAAAAAGTGATGTTTTTTTTTCTTCTACATTCATTCATTCATTCATTCATTTTTTAACGGATTTATCTAAAACTACAAATTTGTTCAAATTTGCTACCGGATTATGATTATTATTATCATTGTTATTTGATCAACAATTTTCCTATTTAAATTTGATTGAAAAAAAACATTGATTCGAATGCAAAGTCAAAATGATTTGAAAGGAAAAAAAAAATCTTTCAAACAAACATGACCAATGCAAAAATGTATTTGAATTTTTCAACATAAGAAAAAAACAAGAAGAGGATTTAAATGATGATGATGATCATCATTTGATAATGATGTAGCAATAAATACTAAACAATGGAATCTTATATAGTGAACAAAAAGGATGATGTTTACGAGGAAACCATTTGTTATTGTTAGCATTTTTTTCTGGCTTTGTTTTTTCGCAATACATAATAAAGTGATGGTACAATTAATTAACAAACATACACACACACACGATTTCGTAATACAAATCCGTTTTTTTTTGTTTCTCTACAAATCACCCCCCCATTTGAATCAAGTCACGGATTCATTGGTAATATTTCTGAGGTAAGAAAATTGGAAAAAAACTGAAAGATGAAGACTGAATTTTCATAGACTTTTGGCGAATTTTTTCGTTTTCCATCTTCTTCTTCATTATCTTTTTCTTACCCAATTACCTAATGGAATGAAAAAAATTTGTTTTGACCCAAATATTGATGATGATGTTGAGGAACTTTATTCATTCATTCATTTAGTCAGTCAGTCAGTCAGTCACTTATAAATATTACGGTATATATGATTTTCTTTTTCATATAATAATAAGGTCATTTCATTTCAGGTAAATTTATAAACATCTAATATAGATAATCTATATAAAAAAGGTAAGTTACAAAATGATCGATAATGATGTTGATGATTGAGATGTTTAAAGGAATGATAAGAAATGGCAGATGGTGGTTAACCAGTAAATCATCATCATCATCATCATTGTAGAGATTGTTAACCTTGAATTATAACAACAACAACAACAGAAAATAATTAATTAGACCAGATGTCATTCATTCTAAATGTGTCAAAGATCAACATTATTCACATTTTTTAAAGTGAAAATAGCAATGAACAAAAGAGAAATAAAAAATTATGCAATAAAATTATCAAAAAGAAAAAAATTTCCTACATCTTGTTCAAGATTTTTATCTCTTTTTGATTTTATCATAATAAAGTTACAGGTAACCGTTAATTAAAATAATAATAATTTTAGCAAAAAAAAAGTTTTTTCATTATCATTATCTTTTGACTGTCATCATTTTTATTTTTATTTTTGTCATTCCTTGTCATTCATTTCAAAACAAAATCAACAGGTTGTATACATTTAGCATCATATTTCAGGTGTTTTTTTTTCTTCTTTTGAATAAGCAAAAGAAATGTTTTCACATTATAAAAAAAAGAGATTGTTGTTGTTGTTTGAAATAACAATTATATGATGATGATGACCTAGAACTTTACAACAACCAAAAAAGATATTCAAATTTTTTGGTACAAAATTTCAATTAAAATTAGATCAAAAAATGTGTTTTGATCACAATGTTGTTATGTTTTTTGCAAAAATCATTCTTAAAAAAACAACTTACCGATAGAAAAAGTATTGAATATTTATGAATCATGTTTGTTTTGTTATTTTCTAACTTCTTGAAAATTTATAAATTTTGAATTTATTTTTTATTTTTGGTATTCTGTTAGTTTCGATGATTATGGCACTTGGGTTTTTCTTATGCGAATGAAAAACATCCCCATCCACACACACATACGCACGAACACACTAAAGATGGGGAAGAATGATTCGATGTTGAATGAACAAAACACCTTTTGGTGTATTGGATTCACTTTTTTTGGTATTAAGAATTTTTTTCTTCTATGAAATTCAAAATATTAATGACATGAAGAATCAAATGGTGATGATAACGACAATAAACAATAATGTCATCAATAAAGTTGTTTTGAGCAATAGAACATATCACATTTGAAAGCAAAAAAAAAATTCTTTCGTCGAAAGCAAAAATTGTCACCAGTAAAATCGTTGTTGGATTGGATTTTGTCAATCAACCATCAAATTAACGAACAACAAAAAACATAAAAGTGATGATTGAATAAGTGGTGTTTACAACAATTACAACAGCCAAACCAAACCAACAAACAAAAAATTTAAAATGAAAATCAAATATTCTTTAAATTTTTAGTTTTTATACCATGCTCTCATGTCTTCATTCATATCACTGGAAAAATTATTGATTTTGTTTTGATTTGATTTCTGGTTATTTCTCTGTTACTTGTTATAGTTGTTTGATTTTTTTTATCATCATCATCATCCGGCTACTATGAAAATTCCTTCGAAAAAAAACTGATCATTTCAACGAGGAAAAAAAAGATAGAGAAAAAAAGGATTGACTAAATATATCTAAACTCCAGAAATTGACTAATGCCAGAAAGAAAAAAATGAAATAAAAACAAAGAGAAACTGGTCAAACCCCTGTCCGAAATAACCGATATATGACGGTTTCAAGATTTGAGATAGAAATGAACATAGTGAGTATGGTCAGTCGGTGAATTTTGTTCTGTACAAATTTTAAGATGTTTTTTGTGGGAGAAACAACGACGACTGACGATGTTGATGATGATAAAATAAAGAGACGACGATGTTGATGGTTCGGGGAAGAAAAATCTTTATGATAATGATGATGATAAAGGTGAGGGTCACAATAATCGAGTTTTCATCGTTGGTTTTACTGTTATAAACCATGATCGTCGTCGTTATCCGTAGTATGTTTTCCATGCCACCAGGTCGAATAGTGTTTTTTCAAAAAAAATCTTCACTACTAAACCAGATAATAGAATGAACGAATAAGAAGAATTTGAAGTTGAAGTTAAAGTGGAAGGAAATCTGGAAATGAGAAAACTGTTTTTTTTTCGATAAATTTTTGCATCCTTGTTTTCTACGAAATTTTTTTTTTGAAATTTCAAAAGGAATTTTAATTGATTAAGCTTATGTAAGATATAGATCAAACAAATAGAACATTGATAGCAAAGCCAAACATAAAAACTGATTTGAAAAAAAAAATTTAAATAAATTAAACTTGGATTTCATCTATTAGTCGATTGAAAATATATCGACCGATATTAAAAGAAAATCACTAGCTGATTGATTAGCAACAATTTTTTTTTTGGTCAGTGTGGCGGTAGGTCAATTCATTTTATTTAGATGAAAACTACAGATTATAATGATTGGTAATGATTGACCATCATCATTACCACCATCACCACATCAACAACAACAACAAAAAAAACACCCTTTTGGGTCAAATAATCAAAAAAGAAAAAAAAATCATCAACAATCAAATGTTACCAAATGCATCAAAATCATGTAATCGGATATCAATGATAATCATCACCCATCATCGATGGTCAAAATGATCTGATGTTGTTATGTGATGGGAGAAGAAGTAGTAGAAAAATCTGATTTTTTTTTTCTATTTCTCTCTTGCGGGCTGTTGATTATCATTCATTCATTCATTCGTTTATCAAGTCAACGCAGTCATTATTATAATCAGAAAAAAATACTTGTTGTTGATCATAGATCCGATCGATTTGATATTGATCAAAAATTTTGATTGCTATTCATTTCCAACTGGAAAAATAAAAACTAACTTAACTAATTTTCGAAAAAAAAAACTGATTTGACCAACTGAATTTGACAGTTGGTAACTTTTTCGATAAGAATGACTGACTGACTGACATATTTCAAATCAAGAGAAATGGAGAAAAGAAAAATTCCGGTCAACATTGTGTGTGTGTGGTTGGTAGATATAATCATTTCGATGATCATCCATTGATCATTCACTGTTTTTTTTCTTGCTGATGATGATTATATCATTGACGCCATTTGATTGAACCAATTTTTTTCATTTCAAAAACCTTGATTTTTAAACTCTAAAATCAGATCGATCATTTTTAATTTCATTTCAAATGAGAAAAAAATTTGTAACTTTCAACCTTATAAATAGGATAAAATATCAAATCAAACAATTACGAGGTCAACAACAACAACAAAAAAGTAGAGAAGAAAAGTTGCTAATGATTGTGGAATGTTTTTTTTTCTTTCTTTCCAGGTTAAATATAATCAAAATGATACNTCAAATAATCAAAAAAGAAAAAAAAATCATCAACAATCAAATGTTACCAAATGCATCAAAATCATGTAATCGGATATCAATGATAATCATCACCCATCATCGATGGTCAAAATGATCTGATGTTGTTATGTGATGGGAGAAGAAGTAGAAAAATCTGATTTTTTTTCTATCTCTCTCTTTTGGGCTGTTGATTATCATTCATTCATTCATTCGTTTATCAAGTCAACGCAATCATTATTATAATCAGAAAAAAATACTTGTTGCTGATCATAGATTCGATCGATTTGATATTGATCAAAAATTTTGATTGCTATTCATTTCCAATAGGAAAAATAAAAACTAACTTAACTAATTTTCGAAAAAAAACTGATTTGACCAACTGAATTTGACAGTTGGCAACTTTTCGATAGGAATGACTGACTGACTGACATATTTCAAATCAAGAGAAATGGGGAAAAGAAAAATTCCGGCCATCATTTGTTGTGTGTGGTTGGTAGATATAATCATTTGGATGATCATCCATTGATCATTCAATGTTTTTTTTCGCTGATGATGATTATATCATTGACGCCATTTGATTGAACCAATTTTTTCTTTTTCATTTCAAAACCTTGATTTTCAAACTCTAAAATCAGATCGATCATTTTTAATTTCATTTCAAATGAAAAAAAATTTGTTACTTTCAACCTTATAAATAGGATAAAATATCAAATCAAACAATTACGAGGTCAACAACAACAACAAAAAAGTAGAGAAGAAAAGTTGCTAATGATTGTGGAATGTTTTTTTTTCTTTCTTTCCAGGTTAAATATAATCAAAATGATACATATAGGTGTGTGTGTGTGTGTGTGGTCAAGGTGATACTGATGCTGGATGAAATGAAGAAGCTAAATTGGAAATATTAAATGAATGAAATGAGATTCAGTCTAAATATACTTATAGAAAATTAAATGATTATTCGTATATCGATTTGCTTTGATTTGTTGTTGTTGTTTGGTTGTTTGTTGAATATATTTGCCGGTGAAAAATATTCATCCATCCGTTTCGATTTATTTTCAATTCAATGTTGTTGTTGTTGTTGTTATCGTTGTTGTTTTTCAAAATGGATAATGATGATTGATGTAAATCAAATCGACACGATCAATAATATATTTTGGTTCATTTCATAACACAATTCTAATCGTTCGGATTGGAACAACAACAACAACAACAACAACAACAGCGAAATTTTCAAGCTATAAGATTACTAAAATTAGATTGAAATGAATTCAATTCAACAAAAGGTTTATTTTGGCTAAAGCAAAAGTAATTTTTATTTTCTCTCCTACTTTACATTCCAATCAATCGAAATTTAATCGATAATCTTGATAGACAACGAAGAAGAAGGAGAAAAAACATCTCAACTACCTGTTGATAATATTTACCGTACATACATAATTTCGGTAGGCATAATATTTTTTAAATTTTCAAATCATTCACTCACGAATCACAGTGTGTGTGTGTGTGTGTTGTGTTGTTTTTATTTAATTCATCATCATTTTTTTTCTGTTTACCGATTGGCATTCGTTCAATGTAGTCATGGTATTGATAATGGAAAACAAAACAAAACAAAAACCCATAACTAATTCAATTTAAATTGATTTTTCTCATTTCTCCTTTTCTTTTTCTTTTCATATTAATTTGTTTACCGCATCCAAATGATAATCGATGAAATTTTGATCAATTCAATTTCTCTCCTTTTGTTTTGTTTTTGATCATCATCATTATTATTGTTTTGTTTTGTTGGGTCACAAACACAAAATAACCCTTTAGATGATCGTGATTCAATCTTTTCAAAATTTGATTGAAAAAAAAATTTTCATTTTCAAACAAAAAAAATCACTTTTTAATCCAATAAAATGTGATTATCAATCCGATCGAATCAATCATTGTTCCACATTCATCATTCCATCATCATCACGGACAATTTCAATTCAAATTGAAAGCAAATTTGAATTCTATTTTCAATCAATCAATCAACCAATCGACCGACCAACCGACCGACCAACCGACCAAAAAAACAGGAATTTAAAGCAAAAAAAAAGAAAGAAAGAAAGAAAAACTATCAACAACGAGACAAACAATACAAAACAGCAATAATAAATCATCTCGAACCATCATCATCATCATCATCATTACCCATCGTGCTATTAGCGAAAACCGAAAATTCAAAAAATTTCTACTGCCGGTGTTGTCATCCATTCAGAAGCTATTGTTGTTTTGACGACGACGACCACGACCACGACAAAAAACAAATGATGTTTATTCAAATTTGTTTTAACCAAACACAGAACAAAAATAAATCCGATCAAATCTATGACCATCATTCATTCATTCATATTTTTGTCTTATTTACGGTATTTAAGCAGGTAAAATAAAATTCTCTCACCTTTTTTTAAATGGAATGGAATTGAGATCACTCTCAAGAGTATTCTTTTTACATATGAAAAAACCAACAACAACAACAACTATTCTTTGTTGTCCATTTGTTGATAATCGACCGACTTAAACATCCTTTTTTTTTCATTTTGTTGTTGTTTGAAAAAC